CAATTTTATTTGGACTCAGGCGGAGTTGAATTGGAAGAGCACTTGACCTCTATTTCAACGCATCAATTGGGGTCCACTGTGTCAATGTTCGGTGTTTGCCCCCTAATCCGATCGCTGCATGGGATTTCAGGAACAAACCTTGGGAAGTACATAAAGTACACAAGGAACACATCTCCAAGGGCCGTACCGAAACGAAACCAAGGTTCGAAGAGAGTGGGCCACTTCACTTTTCGCTTTTTCATATTTTTTTCTCTTGACCGCACAATTTGATTACTAGGACAACAAGCTGCGACGTGGAGTACACACCGTGTACAATATACGATATGAATTGTACACGGAATACCGACATTCACAGCACATGTTCCACTCTCTCCCACTTTCTCCCACCTTCGAGTCTATGATTCGCTCAGTGGCGCTTTCAACTCCACGCGCACCAACCATAAACCAATCACTACGGACCAAAGATCAGTAGTCCGATGGAGTATATACGCCAACAATGCCATTGGTCCCAGCAGCAAAGACAGCCCACTTGATCCATCTATCGTACCTATGACGACGCCTTCTTATCCCTCACAATTGCCTAGTCACGCACTGTTGATTCGGGGAACTGCGGAATGCTCCACCGTGGGCCTTCATCTACGGAGTAGGCCAGTCCCAACTACCCGCGGAGACCGCGATAGGGGGAAGGATCAGTGTCGCCACCTGGGAAAGCAAACTAGCATTTGCTTCCCAATCTGCCGGGAGGCGCCGTGGTGTTCTTTTGGCCTTCGAGAAGGCAGTTCCTGGGACCGATATCCGGATTTATTGCGCAACGGTCTCCGAATGGTTATCTTGCCTCAAAATGGGGTGATTATTACTTAGACCTGGGACTTTTAATGCGGAAGCTTGTCGGGAGCAAATCCGCAGCCAATCTCTGGCCTCGTTGCCCCCCTAACAGCCAACCCCCCCTTATCTAGGGACTAGGTAAACAAGCTGGCCAACGAACACACGATCAAACGGATATGCGTCCCGAACTTCCCAGGGAACTGCATAGCGACCGTTGGGAAGTTACCAATTTCGAGGATTAGCACACTACCGTCGACACTAAACCTCCTCGGCCCACTTCAAACGCCGAAAGTCTGTGTTGGATTTCCAGAATCCGTGGAAGCCGCGGGAGGGACACACCCCTTGATCGCTGGAACTGTCAGATCGGAGTCCAGTAGATTATCCGTCCCAGCTGCACACGAGGGCACTAAATTAGCTTGAATTGGCCCTCGGTGCTGCGTAGCTGAGTTGTTTTCATTAAAGTGGACCCACTGTCACTCCAGTAACCTTAGATTTATATGAAGCTTTTGCGCATTGGGAAGGTGTGGACAACATACATGATACAGCATACACCGACAGACAGCGCGGAGACTTTCACCCAGCCAACTCGCACTAGCCCTCAATGGTACCTATCGTCTCCGTGCACAGTGGCAGTGCCACTTACTGCATGTCATTCATTCATTTTCTTCGCATTCAAATCTGATTCTGGGTATATTTAGATCGCCAGCTAAGCCGTGATGTCTTGCGCCGCAGTAATCTATCTAATTGCGAAGTGATAGATGCCCCTCCTCAGTTCCTTACCATGTCGTGCTGCCCAAAATGGGTCTTTATGTGTGTCATACCTGACTAGCTTATTTCATTTCTCTGGGGACTAATGTGCGTGGTCCGGCTGGCTTTGAAACTACTCCGTAGCCCCTATATTAAGTTGTATGTAAAGGCAATCAATTATGCTCCTTTGGGGGCCTTGCTCCGCTTCTTCTATGGTTTTCTAGAAATCAAATAGTCTGCTCTCAGCTGCACGTCGGTGCCTTAAGTGAGCTGAGAATGCTGTTTATAGTTAGTACTCCATTTTGAGGCGTCGTAAGAGGTTTCTTATTGCTCTGCTAAGTTAATAATGTCTATACCCCGTAAGATGGCCAATTATGCCATATGTTTGTTTTTAAAAATCAATACCACAATCTTTGAAGAGCAAATCTCTTATGCGGCCTTGGTACTCCATACTCTGTGGTGTTTTTAGATCTATCCCGCCCTCTCCCCACGCCCCCTTTAATGGTATAAGAATTGGTCGCAAATTATAAATAGTGTAAATAGTGTAACTAAAAAGCGGTGCCTTAGATGGCAGTGAGAACACTGTCTGATTCAATGTCACTCCTTTTTAAACGTTTGCTTTCTTACTATCTCTATTGCCGTGCTAGGCAATCGACTTGTTATCCAAGCTGGCCCTGATATGCTGTATGTTTGCTTTCTATAACACAATGCGCATTATATCGTTTGATCGATCACAGCTTTGATTTGCAGAATCTGCATGGTATCTATATACTTCGCTATTATATATCTATTTCAGACACCCTCAATTGAACCTCTTCTCTTAGTATCATTTCCACTTTCATGCCTTCAGACCTTGTTGAGCAGAGATCTAAAGCCAAAAAAACAAGCAAGACAATGTTCATGATGGAAAAGCAAATTCGAGATGATTGAATTGGCCAGTACGAAATCCTCACTTCCGGAAAGAACAACCTGCGCAGCGCGCGCATTGCGTCTGCCTCGCCAATATAAATTGGATATTGTCTTCTCTCTCGTTTTTTCTTCCTCGCTCACCTTCACTGCACTCACTCTTGAGACCTATCCTGCGAACTTTGCAAGTCTTTACCGGAGTGTATCGTCTTTCTGAGATACTACCATTTCACCATGCCTCCGCGACGGAAACGGCTCCCTGCGAGCCCATTTGCACGGGGATACACACCCCAAATGAGAGCGGCGTCAGTTAACCCTATCTCACTCTAGGAAGCAAGATGGTCGCTAACAAAATATCGATAGCGTGGACCGAATTCCAATCCCAAACGAGTCAGTATTCTCATCAGTCTTGGCCTTCAACTGCTCACCGTCATAGAATTAAATGCTGCGTCTGCAAGCGGCATCGCCCACAGTCCCAGTACTCGAAAAACCAACTGGGCTACCTCCGCCGGGCAATGTTCGATCTTGGCTACAATAGCATTTATGACCAGCAGGTTGCTAAGTGTGGCCCATGCACGAATGCCCAGGTTTGTGAGGAGCTCTGTCATCGTTGCGGTCACTACCGTGCCATTGACCAATTCGCCAGAAACCAACGCAATCGCGACAGTCCGGTATGTTTGTCGTGAGCTACGCACTTTGGCTGCTTCTAATACTTGGTCGATCTGATAGATCTGCCAGCCCTGCATGAACTACCAGATGTCCCTCGATCCTGCCGATCAGCCTCTGGCGATCACGGACAAAACCGTGGTTGAGGATCAGGTAGAGGATGAGGATGAGGATGAGGATGAGGAAGAGGAGCTCAATTCTGAGTCTGTGGGCCATTTTGGATCCATTGGACAACCCGAGTCTGTCGATATCTTTGGCTCTACTGGTCAGGCCGTAAGTTATCAGAACGACATCAGCTCTGGTCAAGTCTTGGTTTACTCATACTTTGAATGCAGGAGAGTTTAGAGCAGGGCATCGAGACAGCTCTCGTCCTGCACGATGATTCCACTGATAGTGATGGCAATGAGAGCCGGAACGGATTTGCAAGAGTCAAGGTGGGTGCCTCCATTTAACAGAACTTATATCGCTCCGGATGGACTTCTAACAAAACTTTATTGTATAGGCGCACCGTCCTCGTCAGGCGCCTGTCCCTGAGCCCGAGCCTGCCCCAGGCTGGGCACCCGGTACTCGCAAGATCAATGATGGCACTCCTTGGAAAGGAGGAAGGTATCTCTAATGGTTTCCAACACCGTGCCACGAACAACCCTCGGGTTATGATTGACGATACTTCTATCTATGGGCACCTCGGCTGCTAGGCTGCGTCTGGTGTTGCAGTTTACGGCATGCTCTTCTTCTTCTACCTCTGTAGTACTCCTAGTTTCTCACTTGCTTTTACTTACAGACGGTTCGACTTCAGGGTCTGCCCATGATGTCTCCTATGTCTCCAGACGCTCTTTTTTTGCTCTTTCCTCCGGGAAGGCGAGTTTCTAGTATTCCAGCCCTGTGCCTGGTGCATGTCTTACGGGCAACCTTTCTCATATTCTGATTGATGGGGCTTTTACTACAGGGTGGGGTGGACTTCTAAGTCCGCGCCTGATATAACCTTGTCCAATGATTTTTCTCGCTTTCTTTTCTGGGGTCCTAGGGTTGATATGTTTATGAAGACCCATTAGATTCAATAGTATTTCCAAGGTTTGCCTTTTGAGCTCCCATGGGTCGGTAGACAATAGTGCCATGGTTATGACATCGGTGGTTCCGTTGACTCCACCTACTATAAATATTGAAATCAGCAGCTTAGCTTGTCGGTCGAGTTATTGTATGATAATCGATATCCAGGCAAGTTCCAGCTATTTCTGGTGATTGAGAACTGGAAGGCAGTGGCTAATAATACTCTGTTCTGTCGATCGGTGTCCCAGCCGTCGGATCCGGGCCGACATTTGGCAATGACATAGCCCTATCTTTGAAATAGTGCCCTTCACAGCTCTGATAGGCGCAAGGGAAACTATAATGTACACATCGCATGGAAGATGCATGTTAAGTCTGCAGCGGTTGCTATACACTGCCAGATACATGCTCTGTTAGTCTGCCGATCGTGTGACTCTGACCCAGTCTAGCAATATGAAAGAGCATATGTGGGACTTTAATATAGCAAAGGGCCAATATAACAAAGAGCGACCGTGTGATGTGACGTCGAGACAGTACAAAGAGAATGAATCTTAAATCCGTCTCACTCGTAGTGACGATATGATCGCCACAACGTTTCACTCGCCCCCCACTAGCCCCTCCACCGTAATTTCTAGCAATTCGTAATCTGTGTGCGCTTCTTCTTTCTAGTTATTCTCTTCAAATCGGTTACATTTTGCAAGGAGAAACTACACGTCTTTGCTAAAGAGAATACCCCGGCTACATCTAAACCCTCAAACCTCCGTATGGCCTCCAATGGAAATTACACGAGCAATACAGACCAAACGGGCAAAATGAACCCAGACTCAAACGAGCATGGGTACTTGCCCGCACGTCCACTTCCATCCTATTATACACCATCTCCTCAGAACATGCCGCAGCCACAGATGCCGCCGACTGGGTCATCGGCCCCAAATCTAACCCCAGAGCCATACAACCATTCGGAATCCCAGCGCTCCTCTCCAAACATGCACACTGGGCACATAGACAATGCAGTGAGCTCTGCATTTCAAAGTAGCGGCTCCACAGGCTACCTTTCCCCAGAAATTATCTCGCAGATCACAGCAACAGTGATCCAGCAGCTTAAAACAAATGGGTTGGACAAGCTACAAGGGTCCGGTGCGCCCCCGCCCGGCTCGCAATCACGGCAGCCGCCATGGCAAACAGATGGCTCGTTGCAGCCGCATAAGGAGACTCCCTCTGCCATACCTCCACAGCGAAGCAGTTCAATCCCCCCGCCCACTTCGGCCTCTGAAAAGTTCCATACTGGGAATTCCGAGCCATACGTCCCCTCTAGTTACGCTAGTGACAGTCATCCCAGCCCGAAACCTGCTCCTGATCCCCATCCATACGTCCCTTCTGGTTATGCTAGTGATAGTCATCTCAGCCCGAAACCTACTCCAGATCCCCAGCCATCCGTCTCCTCTGGTTACTCCAGTGATAGTCGTCTCAGCCGGAACTCTACTCTCGATCACCTGTCGGATAGACGTGCCTCTGTCTCCAGTCAGACTAGTGATCGGAGTCATCCTAGTTACTATAAGGCGGAACGTCCGAGACCTCCGGATCGGGACGCTACCGTTATGGAGATGACTACTTTGGAGCGAATTTGGGGGAAATTGTTCGATGATGGCAAGGCGACGAAGAGGCTTGGCCAATTCTTGCGTGGAATTGCGGTTCATATGGTAGGACTTTTGTCTACTCTGACCTACTACGGATTATAATGGCTAACTTGAGTAGATTGAGGATTATCCGCCGGGAAACACCCTTGTCATTCCCCCTTATAAGTTGCAAAAGTTCTATCGTGACACTCATGATTCGAATGACCCTTATCCATGGCAAGGTTGGTAATTCGATCTGTTTATTGACATGACATATTCTGACTAAATATTTAGACATTTTTGATGATCGTACATCTTCGATCTCCCGACTATTCCGCGACATCAGAGTCGAACATCATCTCATCCAGGACGATCTAGCAAAACGCCCAGATATCCCAGGCTTAACACCCAAAGGCTTCGAGACCTGGGAAACCTTGATGATCCTCGCGAACCCAGAGCGCGAATACGAGCGACTGCAAAAAGCAGTCCGCAACATGCCTATCAACAACCCAGAGGACCAGAAAGAGCGCTTCCCAAAGGAAATCCCGCGTCGGCTCTTCCCAGAGATCGCAGATATCGAAATCAGAGAAGACGTCGAGGACCGAATCATGGTCCATTGCGGCGTCGATCTACCATACATCACACCCGAAGAACGCAACCAGACTTCTGGCCGGTCGGCCAGATCATCCACCACGACCGGATCGCCCGGAGAGCGAACCCGCTCATACGAGAGAGGCCGACCCCCAACCGCCTCGGCCCCAAGACCTGCCGTAGTCCCAAGACCCGCCTCAGCCGTGACAGACGATGAAGACGAAGAAGACGAAGAAGAAGACGACGAGGTAGACGAAGGAGACGAAACCATCACCTCGGTCCCGATCGAGCGAGAACGCAATCCCTACAGCAACAGTCCAAGCATTGGCAAAGTCTACGATGAACCCAGTCCTAGCCACGACCACAACCACAGCCACAGCCACAGCCACATTGGATCGACACCGGGACAAGCTCCAGCATACCGCATGCCCGAGTCCTACGACCGCGAGTCGCAATACGCACGCTCGGGGTCTGGACATTCCTCTGAGAAGCGGTTCTCGCATGATCCCCGCAGCTCGTCGCATCACCGCGGAGGCAGTGGTACCTACAGGCATTCGGATACTGAATTGCATGGTCGTGACCATTCGGCTAGACATTCAGGGCTTTCGGCGCATGATCTGTCGTATAACGAGCCTGCTGCGAATTTGACTGAGGATGAGGCGCGCAGATATCGCCCTAGTCGGGGTGGCGACGAGGAATATTATCGTGGGAGTGGGCAGGGAGGAGCTGTACCCCGGTATGATCAGAAGTATGAAAAGTATTACGGATGAATGTGGATTTGGATTGATTTGTTTTAGTGTTTTGGGTTGCTTCCTTTTGGCGATTATTGCATTGCAGTCAGTGTCATTTTCCTGTTCTTCTGCCTTTCATCTCAACTCTGGTCTTAATTTTGATTCTTTTCAAGCTGGGCGTGGCATGGATCCGAGGATACCCCTTTTTCTGGGGTTGTGCACGATTAACGATATCATATTTCACGACGTTCTGCTCTTTCGAAATACACGTGAGTTTGTAATTTTATCAATAGCATCGAGAATGAAAAAGTGCAGCGCATACTCAAGTTGTATTCGTCTCACTTCGACCTCTCAAACCCAAACTTCCTCATAACCCTCTCCCCATCCTCTCTAATCTTTTTGAGCTCCCTCTCCCTCTCCCTCTCTTCCTTCTCATACTGGAGCGCAATAGCCCTGGCATGTCTCTCCTCACGCTCGACCCTTTTCCTCGCAACCCTCTCCGCGCGCCTCTTATGCTCCAACGTCCGCTCATCACATCTCTCAGCATCATCGCGCAGCGTCTCGACCTCCTCATCGGTCAATACCCATGGCACAGACAAGACTTCAATAAGGAACCGCAGGCGGGTATCCAGGAACTGCATTTCGGCGTTCGTATCACGCACAAGCCAGAACCGCTCAAGATGTAACTGCATCTGCGAGCGGAAAGTTGACAGCGTCCCTTTTACCCGGACTAGCGTTCCTGGTTGGAGAGCTGAGATGTCTATCTTGTTGTGGTCTTTGGAGGTTACGTGTGTTGTTTGGGTGAGGCTGGTGGCTGTTGGCGCCATGAGGGAGAATGAGGACCATGCTGGTTTTCCTGGGCCTGTGGCTGGAGTTTCCTGGCTAGTGGTGCCGGGATTTGGTGAGGTCTGCTTTAGTACGGCTATTTCGATTGTTGCACCACTGCTGTCGTCTAGTATTAGGATTGTGCGTCGTGGGACATCAGTTCGCGCCACTATGATGCCCACTAGGCTAACAAATTGGATTGGATGGTTGTTGTAGAAGAAGATATTTTGGCCTGTGGGCTTTGTCAGTTATGAGGCTTTTGATGCAGAAATAGGCTTGGTTGTGTTTTGGTCTGATGGAGGATATTGAGTAAAAAAGAAGGCATATTTCTGGGATATTTTGGAGCCCGACAGAGTATTGGAACACTTATAGAGTTCGGGTATAATGAAACCGAAGTCTAAACAGCCTGGTGGATGTATCGAATGAACTTATTACGCTAACGCCGCCTCATTATCGAGCCTCCGCGCTAGAGGACCCGGAAATATGCACATGAGCACTAGGTGTGTCGATCTGCAGGGGGCAGGCTCAAAAAAAGAAATAACATACCCACGAAGTCACTCGATTTTCGGAGACGATGCACATCGGCCGCACCCATTTTCACCCAGGTAAAGTGCGTGGGTGACGCCTTGAAGCAGAACGCGGGGTAGAATACGAGGTTCTCATGGTTGACTATTGTCATTGGTTCATCTTTTTTCTCGAAGTATGCGGAATCAGGACTTATGAATCTCAACTTGGGAATGTCGATTTAGGGATCAGGAGTAGGCATCCGAGCATGAGTTACCGCTCTTGCCGACACCTGATTCTGCCTACCACTTCCCACACCGCCTTTGTCTAGAACTCCCCAGTAGCAAAGAGACCGATGTCATTATCCAAGAAGCCCTTCAACCAGCCTATAATGGCACTATATAATTGCTGGTTTCTAGCATACCCACAATCTCTATAGATAGATATGCTTATCTCCGTCCATCATCCTCTTCATGGGATTCCTCGGCAGCGCCTCCTGCCTTTTCCTCTCCTCAGCACTGATATCATCAACATTAGTCTCCTTCTCCCCCAATGCAGCCCTTACCTCCTCCCGCGCATTCTCATGCCCCGCAAAAGCAACAGTCAAGATCTCTCTCTCCAACCCACCAACATGCTCCCACTCAATGCCCGCCTGAGTTAACATCCGACATCCCTCAGACTCTCCAACAAACGTGCCAGGCTCCTTAACCCCAAAGTAAACCTTATGGACCCCCTCCCGTCCGCCTTCCCTCGTCTGCGTGATACGCTGCACACACGGTGCATTCCCAGACAGCCGCTTCCCGCACGGCTCCATGGTCACGTACATGACGAGCTTGCGGCCGGGCTCGACGGGGAGGACTTCGCCGACTTTGTCGTCGGGGACTTTGTGCACTGCGGCATAGTTGGCGAAGCAGCATTGCTCTGCATGTGTATTGCCCGCGAGCTCCATTGTGTACCCCGTCGAGAGGATCCGGTCGTCTGTGAAGGTGGGGTCGTCGTCTTTGCGGGATAGTAGGACTGCGCCGACTCGGAAGTTGGTGGGTCTTGGGGGGGATTTTTCAGCTAGAGAGAGGCATTCTTTTATGTAGGGTATGTGAGGGGAGGTGTTTGTCGTCATGGTGAGTGATGCCAATTGCGATTAGGCTGGGTGTTCGGTGTATGAGGGGATCAAGTTGCGCTTTAGATGTAAAATTTGGATTTTGAATTGGATTCGGTTGGTCCCTGTAGCTCTTGAAATCGAAGAGAGTGAAGTGGCGCTGTCGATGAGCTTGGGGTGCTTGATAAAGGCGGGGAGCAGCAGCAAAATGACGAAATGGCCCGTCGCGTCGAAATCGCGTTCCATTTCTACGACCTTGTGCAGTCGCCACTTCTATTATCAATTAAATCCAAGTTCAGTGTAATATACCTAGGTATCTAAATCGCACTCGGTTCTTCGTCTGGTGTTTGAGCGCCCAAAAAAAGCCTGTCGTGTCACCAAAACTTGCAATGGCGAAAAACACGAAAAACGAACACCATGCCTCAGACGAAGAAATGCCGTCTGTCGAGGAAGATCTTTATAAAATCCTAGGCGTTTCATCCGATGCAACCCCAGAAGCCATCAAGACCGCATACAAAAAGAACGCTTTGAGACATCATCCGGGTATGCAAACCCACGCAGGTTCGAAAACAGCATGCTAATCTCAGAGCAGACAAGGTGAGCGAAGAAGCCCGTGTAGACGCCAACGCGAAGTTCCAAAGAATCGCACTGGCTTACGGAGTACTTTCCGACGCGCGCCGACGAGACGTGTACGACCGGACCGGCAGCACGGACGAAGCCTTTAGCGAAGATGGCGACTTCAACTGGATGGACTTCTACCGCGAACAGCTCTCGGCGATGCTCGACTCGCGGGCGATCTCGGACTTCCAGAAGAAATACCAAAACTCAGAGGAGGAAAGAAAGGACCTGCTCGCCGCGTATGAGACGCACAAAGGCAATATGGATGCCATCTACGATACTGTGATGCTGTCCAATGTACTAGACGACGATGAACGGTTCCGTGGTATTATTGACCAGGCCATTGCGGATGAGGAAGTGGAGGACTTCGCGCGATATTCCAAGGAGCCCGAGAAGAAGAAACAGCAGCGTGTGAAGAAGGCGCAGAAGGAAGCGCGAGAGGCAGAGAAGTTGGGAAAGGAGATTGAGGATAAGAAGAAGAAGAAAGCTGGGGCTACGGGAAAGAGCTCGAAGGCTGCGGCGAATGAGGATGATCTTCTGGCAATTATCACTAAGCGCCAGCAAGATCGCGGTGCGGGCTTCCTTGCTCGTTTGGAGGAGAAGTATGCGCAGCCTGGGAAGAAGCGTGGTATCGATGATGAGCCTTCCGAGGAAGCATTTGCTGCTGTTGGGGCTCGGAAGGGGACAAAGCCCAAAGCGAAGAGGACCAAGGCCTGAGTTCGGGTCTTTGTTTCCTGCATTCATGTGTCATGAGCGTTTGTCTATTGTATAACTAGGTCTAATCGGTGTTTGTAATTGCATACCACTATATCCTTCTTCTTACTGACATGCAAAAAAGATGTACAAAAATACATTCCAAAAGACATTTGTAGAAGGCGTCTGCACGCAGCCACCGCGGCTGCAGTAAGTAGCCTCATCTTCCAAGGTTGGGCTCCTTCTCCCAATCTTTCCTCTTAGTCCCTTCTTTATGTTCTTTTTCTTTCAATCTCAATTACAGATAGTGCACAACCATATCCAGTCCGTAACTAAGGGACGTCGACTTGATTGACTTTTCTGGCCATTTGAGCTGTCAAGCTGTCCAGCTATTTTCTTGAATTCTTCCTACTCATGCATCACAACTAAACCTGACATACATTCCTATCACCGTCATAAAACAAGGCGACCTGCTCCACATTCCTCATTGCTTGGCGGAGTTGACTGCTGAGTTTCCCCACAGCCCGGAGGCGGTGCCGCCATGTCGCACCACGCTGGTCGAACTTCTCCCACTGAACAACTGAAAAGTTTGGATGGTCGATCTACAATATCAACGACCTCAATAAAGGAAAAACCACCTGGCCTGAACCGTGCCTTGCAGAACCTGCTGATTGCCCCGCAGTCTAAGAGTGCGGGCGGGACAACCTATTCGCCCAGAGCAGGCGGAACCCGCAGTCCAGTTGAGCCACTGGTATCATCGCCTTTGCGCATCAGTTATTCAGATATGGCATCCGCTCCAAGTTCGCCGGAGAGGCATGCCGCAGCTCGCGAGGTTTTCCCTCGTAGATCATCCGACCAGGTTGTTGACACTGTCCGCTCGACTACGGGTCGCCTCAGTACTGATGATGATGATGCGAAATCTGATGTCACTACTACTTCCCTAGAGCAGCCACACGCCAAAAAGCGATTTTTGCAGGCTAGAGATAGGTCTCAAAGCCGCAAGGGTGTGGCTGCCATAATGTCTGGCCGTCTCTTCCCGAGAAGCTTTTCCCGTGGCAGAGACAGAGCCTCATCACAAGGACCTTCCCAGCGTGGAGCGTCTCTTGACTCCCGTTCTGCTTCTTCGCCGGAGCGGGGTCGCCCCAGTCTCCCTAGTAGTCATTCTGTTCACGTTGAAACCTTAACTCCCACCTCTGTTGGTTCAGGGAAGGGGAAATCACTGAACATGCACGATGCATTCAACAAGTCAGACGAAGCATTGGCTAGGCCCCATGGAAGTGGAAGCCTCCCTGATTATATCAAACCCGCTGTGGAGGAGGGAGGGGAGCGAATAGCCAAGGATGTTTTCGATCGTGACAAGAACATGATTGAAAGCAGTGAAGATGAAGCCAACGACACTTCGAGCGATGAAGACAGCACTCTGGAGGGTGTACGAGGCCGTAAGAAAAAGAAGGACTCGGATATCACATCCATAACACCAAGCGACTTTGAGAAACCCAAGAGTGACGATTCCAAGCAGTCCGAAGAACGTACGTTGCCTTCTCAGGACTATGTTAAATATGAAATCCATTGTACTAACCTCATATTTTATAGGAAAAGTTTCCGGAGTTCCAAGTGAACGACAGGAGAAGAAACCGCGAAAATCTGCTTTGAAAGCTGTGGTCCATCCACAGACCAGTTTCGACATCCCCACCCCACGTGTTCAGTCCATCGCCGGCACACCTTACGGCTCAGAGGATGAAGCCGAGATTGGTGACATTCATCGTGCCCAGAAGCTCAGTATTTCCATGTCCGCTATTGATAACGGTGTTTACAACCGATCCATCCGAACAATTGTCCGCGGGGACTTCTTAGGTCCGCAGGATCAAGGCGATGGTAGCCGTCGTCGCCGTCGAAAATACTTAATCGCAACTGACTTGAGTGAAGAGTCGGTATATGCCCTCGAGTGGACTATCGGGACGGTTCTGAGAGATGGCGACACGATTTTCGCCATCTACGCCATGCACGAGGACTCCACTACTGCGGCAGCGGTGCAGGTCGGCGAGGGAGCTAGAGTGATGAAAGATACAACTGCTGTCGTTGGCACCCAGACGAAAGAAGCCAACCAGAATTATGGATCCCGTACAATCCTTGGTCGACTTGGCCCTGGTACTGCCAGCAAGACACATTCTGTTGATTCCCGAGCATCGTCAATCGCCGAGGCAGAACGAGTGAGGGCAGTTGAGACTGTATCTCAGACTTGTGTGAAGTTGCTACGGAAAACGCTCTTACAGGTCCGTATTGCTGTGGAAGTGATCCACTGCAAGAATCCAAAGTCTATGATTACTGAAGCTGTGAGTTTTTTTTCTCCGTTCTCAACCACCCTATTATCTCTGGTCCATGCTTACAATGACTCTCAGATTGATGAACTTGAACCTACACTCGTTATTGTTGGTGCTCGAGGTCAAAGTGCACTGAAGGGGTGAGTGACGATTTCTAATCCGATCTTATGCTGCTGGTGACAATACTAACCTTACTTTTAGTGTCCTTCTCGGCTCATTCTCCAACTATCTTCTGTCCAATTCCTCTGTGCCAGTAATGGTTGCACGCCGAAAGCTCAAGAGGCACACGTGGAAAGACAAGCTCAAGGGCACTGCACATGTGCGCCTATCCAATAATCTAATTACTCCGAAGAGTCTTTCTCAAGCCAAAGTGGATTGATCTGGTGTGCTTTTTTTTTCATGTTACTCTCTGGCTTGTCTTTTCACTCATCGGGTCCATGCAAGGCGCCTATCTTGCACTGCGTTTGAAGGCGCATTAGACCTGGGTTATCAATATCTCTATTTAACGCGTATGGATACCCTACTTTTCACTGGCTCAGGATCTCACAATATGATGGCTCTTTCTTAGTTTACTTCTCGTTCTTAACCTGCTCTTAATTTAGGTCTTCGACATTATTGCTTGTGGCGCAATCTGCTCTTAATTGCTTAGACACCTTGAATAACAGTACTTTGTATAATGTAGAAAACAGATATGTTCCTGACTATTGCTTCATTCACATGTAACTATACCTTTGCGCCGGGCTTCGACCCATTCCAAGTTGGGCTTAGCTGGGCCTACAAGATAGGGAACGAGCACCTAAACGCCAAGACATGACCCGGCCTACGCACCTCATCACGTGCAACGTCACCGCCCAAGCTCCCCCATCGAGACAGCTGGACCAACCCCCCAGTCCCACCTTTGCTCTATTCCCCATCCTTGCATTTTTCTACTCTGAATTTCGCCCGTGGAGGATCAGATTCGCTATGGCCGACTCTATTGACCCCCGGATGCCCTCCATCAAACCCCGGTTCCGTTACAATACCATCGGAGGCATTAACGGACCGCTGGTTATCCTCGACAATGTGAGTTGACGATGTCCTGACAATGAAGCGGGAACTGTATGCTAATGATAAAATTGTCAAACAGATCAAGTTTCCCCGTTATAACGAGATCGTGTCCCTGACGCTCCCCGATGGCACAGAGCGCAGTGGTCAAGTGCTGGAAGCCAGAGGTCCGTTCCCCACATTCTGCCGTTCCGACTAGGAGTATGAAAGCTGACTGCTATATATACAAATAGGAAACCGGGCTGTTGTTCAGGTGCGGACTAATACCTCGTCGCTAACATGAAAGACTTTGAATTAACGTGGCTCGTTTGTGAATTAGGTGTTCGAAGGCACTTCCGGTATCGATGTGAAGAAGGTACAACTATCCGTTGAAATGGTTTGAATATGTGCTGACATATCGTTAGACCAAAGTCGAGTTTAGCGGCCACAGCTTGAAACTTGGCGTCTCCGAGGACATGTTGGGTCGAACATTCGATGGCTCAGGTCGAGCTATTGATAAGGGTCCTAAGGTGTTAGCGGAGGAGTACTTAGATATCAACGGCCAGCCTATCAACCCCTACTCACGAGTATGCGCACTTTCACCGATCTAAGATGGAACTACGGAAAGCTGACGAACGGATAAGGTGTACCCCGAGGAGATCATTTCGACTGGTATCTCCGCTATCGATACGATGAACTCCATTGCTCGTGGACAGAAGATCCCTATCTTCTCGGCTGCCGGTCTTCCACACTCGGAGCTAGCAGCACAGATTTGCCGGCAAGCCAGTCTAGCTAAGCCCACTAAGGATGTTCACGACGGCCACGAGGAGAACTTCTCCATCGTCTTCGCCGCCATGGGTGTTAATATGGAGACAGCCCGTTTCTTCAAGCGCGACTTCGAGGAGAACGGCAGTATGGAGCGTGTCACTCTATTCCTGAACTTGGCCAACGACCCTACTATTGAGCGTATTATTACTCCTCGTCTTGCCCTGACCACCGCCGAATACTACGCATACCAGCTCGAGAAGCACGTCCTGGTTATTATGACTGACATGTCGGCCTATTGTGATGCCCTACGTGAAGTCTCTGCTGCCAGAGAAGAAGTCCCCGGTCGTCGTGGTTACCCTGGTTACATGTACACAGATTTGTCCACCCTCTACGAGCGTGCTGGACGAGTACAGGGCCGTAATGGTTCTATTACACAGATTCCCATTCTGACCATGCCTAACGATGGTGCGTTTCTTAAGTCACACTTTCAGCGAATACAACTAACCCATACCTTCAGATATCACCCACCCCATTCCCGATTTGACTGGTTACATTACCGAGGGCCAGATCTTTGTTGACCGTCAGCTGGACAACCGCGGTATCTACCCACCAATCAACGTCCTGCCATCTCTATCCCGTCTGATGAAGTCCGCCATCGGCGAGGGCCGCACCCGCAAGGACCACTCAGATGTGTCTAACCAGCTGTACGCCAAGTACGCCATTGGTCGTGATGCCGGTAAGCAGCCCACCCTTCCACATCCCACAAACATCTCTAACCACTCCAACCAGCCGCCATGAAAGCCGTTGTCGGAGAAGAAGCCCTCTCCTCGGAAGATAAGCTCTCCCTAGAATTCCTCGAGAAGTTCGAGCGCACCTTCATCAGCCAGTCTCCCTACGAGTCGCGCACCATCGAAGAATCCCTCGACCTCGCCTGGAGCCTCCTCCGCATCTACCCTAGGGAACTCCTCAACCGTATCCCCAAGCGCATTCTCGACGAGTTCTACGCCCGCCACGCCCGTAAGATCCCTAACAAGGATACCCGCGATAACTCGCATGAGAACTTGATCGACGCATGAGGAGGTGATGTGTGTTGAGCTGAATTCTAGGGCTTGCGCATGTTGAATTAAAGTACTGTTCTTGTTGTGCGGCTGTTCTTATCTTTTGGTTGTTATTTTCTTTCTATTCTTGCTCAAGCATGATACATTATCGAATCTATTTCAGGGGCTATTCTGGCTCTATAAAATCATGATCGGTTTGTTCATCGGTTCCGTGTGTATAGAGGTCTTTTAGAAGTGGTGGGTAATAGACTGCTATTGTTCTAGAGGTTAAAGATATCTATTATGAAGACAGTCCCGAAAGATGAAGAAAAAACAAAAGACTAAGGGGATATCAATTTTTTTATTTTACTTTTACCCAAAAAGAGTCGCCAATCAGAACGCTTTTCCCAAAACCATCTCGCAATGTAGAGCATAAGCATCAAGGCATCATGAAACCTCTCTAGCAAGACAGAACCAAAAATAAAAATAAAGACAATGAAACTGTGAAAGGTATTTCATTCTATGCAAAGATCGAAAAGCGCTCAGAAGCGCAGATCCCAGCCGATCTTAGGGCCCAATCGAGGAAGCTCGTCGGCGACCTGCTGGACATCCTTGTCACCGCGACCACTCAGGTTCAGAACAATGTTCTGGCCCTTGCCCATTGTCTTGGCGACTTGCATCACACCCCAGACGGCGTGCGAGGACTCCAGGGCGGGGATGATACCCTCGTGTTGGGCGAGGGCGCGGAATCCAGCGAGGGCCTGGCTGTCGTCGGCGGCGATGAAGGTGGCGCGGTTGGTATCCTTCCAGTTGCTGAGTTCGGGGCCGACACCGGGGTAGTCGAGACCAGCAGAGATTGAGTGGGTGTCTGAGATCTGCCCGTGCTCGTTCTGCAGGACATAGGTGCGCACGCCGTGGAGGACACCGTGGGAGCCACCGGAGAGGGTGGCAGAGTGGCGGTTGGTGTCAATGCCGTCACCAGCAGCCTCGACACCGATGAGCTTGACGCTTGGGTCATTGGAGAAGGGGTAGAACATGCCGACTGCGTTGGAACCACCGCCGACACAGGCGATGACGGCATCGGGGAGTTTGCCAATCTGCGCCTGCATCTGCTCCTTGGTTTCGTTGCCGATCACGGACTGGAAGGTGCGGACGATGGTGGGGAATGGGTGGGGGCCGATGGCGGAGCCGATGATGTAGTGGGTGGTGTCGAGTTCGACGACCCAGGCGCGGAGAGCCTCGTTGACCGCATCACGAAGAGTGCGGCTTCCAGCCTCGACGGCAATGACGGAGGCACCGAGGAGCTTCATGCGGAAGACATTGAGACCTTGGCGACGCACATCTTCAGCACCCATGAAGACGGTACACTGCATGCCGAACTTGGCGCAGACTGTGGCGGTAGCAACACCGTGCTGGCCAGCACCGGTCTCAGCAATAATGCGGGTCTTGCCCAGGCGACGGGCAATCAAAATCTGTCCAAGAGCATTGTTGATCTTGTGACTTCCAGTGTGGTTAAGATCCTCGCGCTTCAACCAGATGTTGGCGCCGCCAACGTGGTCGGTCAAACGCTGGGCCATGTGCAGGCTGCTGGGACGGCCCATGTAGGGGTAGTAGGAGCGGAATTCTTCCCAGAAATTGGGATCGTTGTTGGCAATATTGAAGCCGTGCTCGAGCTCGGCCAAGCAATCCATAAGGGACTCGGGGACATACTGTCCACCGAACTCACCGAAGCGCGAGGGCTGGGCAGATGCATCCTTTGTGACATTGAGGGCCTCGAGCTGGTCGGCGAGACCAGGTCCGGCGGGGGTGTCGGAATCGGTGATCACTTTAGTAGGTTGAACCTGAGCAGAGGGCTGGGCCTTCTGAATGGCCTCGAGAACATTGATCTCGTGAGTCAGAGCACCGGTGGCATCACGCTCACGTTTGCGTCCAGTGATGCTGGAAAGGTACTCCTCGGCAGCCTTGGCAGCCTGCCCAGCAGGGGCCTTACCAACGCAAGTGATAATTTGGCTGCCAATGACAACACCCTCAGCCTGCTCCTGGACGGACAGGAAGTGCTCACGGGTGCTGACACCGAATCCCAATGCAGCAGGGACGTTGCCGGAGTATTCGTGGACGCGGTGCAGAAGCTCGGGGATGTTTGCGCTCAATGAACCAGTGGCACCGGTCACACCCATGCGGGAGACGACATAGATAAAGCTGTCTGCGATCTTGCAGAGGAGACGCATGCGAGCATCAGAAGTGGCAGGGGCGATAAGGGGGACGTAGGAGAGACTGAAATTGAGTAAGCATGCTGTATAATCATAGACAAATGATAAAGATTTGAAGAGTAAAAATCAAGGAACTCACCCAGCGCTTGAGCAAAGGTCACGGAAACGGACAGCCTCCTCCGGGGGCAAGTCAACCATGATAAAACCATTGACACCAGCCTCCTTGCAATCACGGAGCATACGCTCCTCACCGTACTTAAGGACAGGGTTGAAGTAACCCATGAGCATCAGCGGGGTCTGCAGACCGCGGCTGCGGGCAGTGCGGACAAGCTCAAGGACGG